GGGTAGCATAGGCTGTGCCTCCCCAAACAGCATGGCACGGCCCCGCTCATGCTCTGCCCCCAGGCCCCCTCCTGCAGTTCTCTGCCATGGCCCAGGCTGGCTGGGGTGGGCCTGGCCAGCCTGCTGCAGGGACTCGGGGTGGCTGGCACTCGGACGCACCACCAGGAGTTGGGGGAGTGAGGGGACCTCAGGCACAAGGGGAGGGGCAGGGGCTAGCCTCCCCCAATGGCTGGGTCACTGGCCGCCCATGTCTCCCACGTCCTTTATCAGGACAATGAAGTGGAATTCATACTGGAACGCCACATGTGAGAACAAGAGTATCTGATTTGGAGAAGCTGATGGCTCTGTTGTATGGCTGCACCCCCACCAAAACCGCGAGTCTTGTGACTTGGCCAGTTTAAATAAGAGATTCATCGATTCACAGATTCCAAGGCCAGAAGGGACCATTGTGATCATCTAGTCTGATCTCCTGTATAGCACAGGCCAGAGAACTGACCCCCAAATAATTCCCAGAGCAGATCTATTAGGAATACATCCAATCTTGATATTAAAATTGTCAGTGATGGAGAATCCAACATGACCCTCAGTAAATTGTTCCAACAGTTAATTATTCTCACCATTAAAAATTTACACTTATTTCCAGTCTGAATTTATCTAGATTCGACTTCCAGCCATTGGACTGTGTTATACCTGTCTCCGCTAGACTGAAGAGCCCGTTATTAAATATTTTCCCCCATGTAGCTACATACAGACTGTAATCAAGTTACCCCTTAACCTTTTCTTTTTGAAGCTAAATAGATGCAACTCTTTGATCAATGAAGCCACCACATCCATCGGTGTACTTCGATTTAAAGCTCTCTGGGGCAGGGACCAATACTTTGTTGCCTGTTAGTACAATGCCTAGCACAATAGGGGTGGCATCTCTGGGTGCTACTGAAACAACAACAATAGAAATAAGGTGATTAGTACTAAACTTCTGCGCCAGCACAACTCTGAAAGGTTTGCAGCTGTGTTAAGATGAACGAGTTAGAGCATAAGAACACAGCACAGCATTTACCTATGCCAACAGCGCAGTAACAATGCTTTTCTTTCTCTAGTACAGTCAGTGTAGAGCTGGACAGGGAATGTATTTTATTTCCCGTGAACATTTCTCAACAAACATTTTTTCATTTCTGTCAAAAACTTTGAATTTGGATGAAAAACCAGAACCAGAACATTGTCCGTTTTCTGAAACTGAACGCAGCAAATGGTTGCCAACGCCCGCCCCCCCCCCTCCCCAAAAATGTCAGATTTTAGTTTTCAATAAAAGCCTGAAAAAATCTGGATGAGAACTGACATTTACTTGGAAAATTTTCTATTTCATTGAAGAGATGTTTTTCATTAAAATAAAACAACCCGACTTCATTTTTTTTTTCAACCAGCTCTAGTTACTTATCTCTATACCACTGATTTTTTTTTTCTTTTTTGATAACCAATGTTTTTGATCATTTTCATGACCCCAAAAAGAACCCCAGTAAGATCTTGCACGTGGACAAAGCCTCTGGAGAGAAAGCTCACTGCTGAGACAGTGTACAGTAGTAACTGGGCAGACTTACTTGGCTTGCTGTCTGCCAGCACTGTTTTGTGATGACTGATTACTGCCATTAGCACTGGGCATCAAGGCTTGGACTGGCTGATCTAACAACATTCTACGCAAGAATGAAAACATGGCACAGTCAGAAAAGGTATTTGTTTTTTCCTATGTTCAGATTCTTCACAGTCAAGCTCTAGTCCCCTACCCCCGTGAAAGCTCTCAACTCTTCACTAACTCATTCCATCCAAGATTATGGACCTGAATGCTTATGTGCACATAATGTAAGATCACAATTTTATCATCTGCTCTAAAGAGACCACAGCTCTGAGTTGAAACGTCTAAGCCTTTCAGATCACAAATGTTTAATTGATCTTGCTAACATTATAATGTCCCACCCTTGTGCAAATTAAGGATCCGGTTCTTTCATTTGCTTTGGACACGAACACACATTTAGCCGGCATCTGCCCACAGAACAGTTCCAGGTGCCTCACAACACAGACCAAAAGTTAAAGTGTTTGCATGTTAGTTTAGAGAGCCGGGTTGGGTGGTGATGGGACTGTGTCTGTAAAGTGCATAGCACACAACAATTGATAACAATATTCGGGCCAAATTCCACCCTGGATTACATGGGAACTGTCTGTACTGAGCTAGCTTGATTATCACTTCAAAAGTTTGTTTTCTCTTAATTAATTGGCCTCTCAGAGGTGGTAAGACAACTCCCACCTGTTTATGCTCTCTGTCTGTGTGTGTATATATATCTCCTCAATATATGTTCCATTCTATATGCATCCGAAGAAGTGGGCTGTAGTCCACGAAAGCTTATGCTCTAATAAATTTGTTAGTCTCTAAGGTGCCACAAGTCCTCCTGTTCTTCTTTTTATGGGAATTTGACCTTAACATGTTTAATGATCTAAAACCGATTTTAGACAGAAAGGCCTCCGGGCAACTTTTTTTTAAAGGGCCTGATCCTGCAAGCACCTTTGAATGGGCCTGATTCTGAGAGCCCTTTATATAACCAACGTCCGCTGAGACTTCACGGGAGTTCTGCATGTGGATGGCTAGCAGGACTGCACTGAAAAGGGCTATTTCCAGGGCATCTATCCTGGCAGGAGAACGGATATTCTGGAGTTCCTGGGCAACTAAGAGAAAACTATGGGAAGCACTAGTTTTGCCTCTTTCTTCCCCTGAAACCAAAGTTCAGCTCCCCCTGACCGAAGCAAGGCAAATAGTACATCCCGTGCCTAAAAACCGGTTACGTTATATGGGAGGCATATGTATGGAGGCGTTAGTAAAGCACAGCTCCTGACGTGTAGCATGAAAGCCAAGACCTCACTGCTGCCCATTCTAGTGCACAATGATATGTTCCTCCCACTCAGACCTCATCAAGAGCCAGCACTGATTACATTCCTACCTTAGACTCCTATCTTGGCTGTAGTCAGACGGTTGTTGCCTTTCGCTCATTTCCGTTGGCATCTGAGCAGAGACAGTGATGGGCTGAGTTTGGGAAAACACCATGGGGCTGTTGTAGAGGGGCATCGAAATACTTGTCTGCGCTGGCAGACATGTTTGCTGGGCCTGGCTGCCTCTCATTAAGTGCTGCTGCTGCTGCTGTACCTGAGACATAAAAAATTGTCCCCGTTAGATGCATCGACTCCATGGTAGAGACCATCTACCTTTAACGCGCAGTTAGAAGGCAGACTATGTGACAATGGCACTTTCTGCTCCCTGAATACGACAGGGGACAGACAGCAGATCTATCGAGTGCAACTAGCCTTTCTGCAGTAGGTATCCCTCAGTGGCCATTGTGCAGGTGCTGGGAGACTTTGCTATAAAAATAAGTTGTCTCTTCAAAATCAGAATATAACAGAAGGGGGAAAGCAGCACAGATATGATGGATGGAAGGAGCCTATAGTGGGAGAAGGTGACTGAAAAATCTGGAGTCCTCACTAATGGATTCTTGTACTTCCTCTACGAATATGGCTTCTTCTCTGAGTTATAGCAGTGTAACTCCCACTGATTACACCTGAGCTAGTCCAGATAGACTCTGGTCTAACTAAGAGCAGAACTGGAATCACAGGACCAAAAAGATCTCTGGTGTGACTCCACTAACTTCAACAGAATTCCACCAGGAATGATTTTGGTTCTCTTAGGTCTAACACCGTTAGGCCATTAAATTTCTAGATACTACAGCAAAGTGACATCATCTACATTTATCATGTGAAACAAAGTAACGTCTTAAAGCTGATTAAGTGACGCACGTCCCACCCACTACAGCATGAGACCTAGACTCAGGAGGCATGAGGAGAATTGTGCTCATTAGCAGGGGGGTAAAGTGGAGGGAGCCACAGGGCCCGGGCATCAGCAGTCAAACTTGGTGCAACTCCAGCCAAGTCAGGTGGAGTTGCCCTAGGGATGGATCTGTCCCTAAACGAGCTGACGTGCAATAATTACAAGAGCCATTTATAAAGAACATTCAATTGCTATTGAAGAAAACCAAGAAGTTAGCAACCTGTGAGGAAGTGACACAAGGTTCCCTGAGGAATTGATGTGGTGACGGTAAGTGTGGGGCACTGTAGTGTTTGGATCCCATAAGGCCTTGCTGCTGAGACTTCTTGGCTGTGGTCTGCCTGGTTGCCCCAGGCTGCTGTGGTTGGGATGGCCTTCTTGGGCTCTGTTGTTGTACGTTGTTAAAGACTAAGGGCATAGGTTGTTGCATCAGCATCTGTAAGAAAGAGATACATGAGATGGTACAGCAGTTTCTGCATTTAATTTTTTAATGCATCTACCTGACTGTGCTACAGTAAGCTCTCATGCAATGTACAATATTGCTGGTGCAAAAGACAGTGTTCCCAAGATCTATTAAATCGATACATTAACATAAATTGTGCTGGATTTCCTATATCCAATAAAACCAGGTCCTTTGCCATGGCTTAGCAACGTGGTATTGAAATACAGACAGTTTCACCTCTAGTTCACTAGCTCTAACGAAGCTTAATCAAATCAAAACGGAAAGTCACTGGAATCTGATGGCTTTTGCAAAACAACTGGAACCTGCAGTCCAGATGTTGGGCTGTGCGTGCCTAGATCACAAAACTCACCACAGGGGGGTCAGCCTCAACAGAGAAGAAGGACTAAAGGAACACGGATACTTAGCTAAACCACCATCTCTAGTTGCTGAGCCTGTATTCTTTATTCAGGCAACATTCCCACGTGTACCAATTACAGTAAAAAGCCCTACATGGGCTTTTGTGCATGTGGCTATTTTCAGTATACAAAACCAATATTACAATGGACAAGGCCATGTTTGCCGGTGGAATCTGGTACATTCTGCAGCAGTGAAGTGGTTAATATACAGAGCTGGTTTTTATTTTTTCCCCCTAACGTATTTGTTAAGGAGTAGATCTAATTTGTGTCAATCCTTTCTCTGCTATTCCCCAATCCTATATTTTTGGCACTGTAGTTTGACTGAATTTTTACCAGCCCACCAGACCCTTCTCCATATTTGACTGACTCATTGGTGAATGATATCCATTTAGAATGATCAACTGTACTTTTCTCTCTTTTAACCTCTTTGCTACTTTGAATAGAGAATAGTGAACATCTAAATTAAAAGTGCATGCAAATTAAAGTGATGCCAATCTGATCAGATTATAGTTAGTAAAGTTCAGCTCTCAGTTTGTAAAACTGGATTCTTTTTCAGTATATTTGTTCATTGTTGACTTTTGGATAAAAGGAGGAAATGGATGCAGTCACTATTGTTCTAGCCGCACCATAGTTTGTTATAATCAGTGACAAATCCAATGCACGGATTAAATACAAAATAATCTATGATGCATGTGTGCTCTAATGTCACGAAACAACTTTACACCAGGGGTGATTT